GCGCATCGGGGGCTCCCGGAGGCCGAGCCCGGCTGCCATAGCGGGGAGGGTCCAATGCAGCAGGCAGCCGGCGGGGCTGGCCGCGCTCCTGCGGCAGAGGTAGCGGGCGGGGCTGGAAGTTGAGCGCGGTGTTGCGCGGGGGGGCCGCTCTCGCTGGGGGCATCCCCGTGGTCGGGGAGAGGCGGCCGCGCCGGGTGGGGGCTGTGCGGAGAAGAGTTTCGGGAGACAAGTGATGCCATGGCACTTGGCTTCTCGTTCAGCGAATCCCCGGGCCGGGCAGCGTGTGCGGCCGGACGGCTGGATGTGGTCGCCCATCCGGATACACAGCGTGGCTTTTTCTGTACGTGGCTACAAAAAATTCTGTTTACTTGGTAGAATGTATTAGTGTAGTGGTCACTGGGCTTGCCTGCTTCCAGTTTTTCGCTCTTAAAGCACTTGCATTCATTCCCCCCTGGTATTTTCAGAAGCAGAGGGCTGTAGTTATTACTGTACTTAATGCAAGTTAATATAACTATCTTTAAAGTCAGAGACTGTGTGCGTTTATTATTTATAAATATGTGAAGATAACAAGTATAATAGGGAAATAAATCTTAATCTCTTTCAAGTTGTTATTGGGTTATTGTGGTCTGTGGTGCAGAAAACTGTGTTTATTATTGTGGATTTGGGGGATCCAAACAGCAATTTAACCTATCTGAGGACTAACTAGGTTTGTGTGTCTTACTAGGAAGCTCTAATAATAATGTGCAAGCAGAAAATGGAATCATATGGATTCATGGAAAGTATATTGTGCTGTTTAAAACGCTTTTTAAAATATCAAGTCCTGGGGAAACTTATAACTGATTTATAATGCAACTTTATTTAAAATAAAGTTACAGAATAGGGAAGACATTCTGTAATACAACCAAGCTTCCCTGTGATAAATATTTAGCTTTGGTATAGAGTTCACCAGCATAAGGAAAGCGAGTCAGAAGAACACATCTGAATAGTAATTCAGTGCTCTAATAAAGTATGGAATTTCTGTTCCTGACTTCTTCTGAAGACATTGTAGATACTTGCAATAAAAAATACTTCAGTGATAGTTTGTGTAGGTAAATCAGCATAGCTGTAATCTTTGAGAGGCAAGTTTAGCACTAGGGGTTTGATTTTGTACTTTCTCTTAAATTTTTGACTGCCTGGGAAAAAAAAAATCAGAAAGTATAAAACTAGAAGAAAGCCTAGCAAGTTGTTAGATTACATCAGTAATGTTGATACCAGCCTTCCCCGAGAACCTTGTTTGATTGCAAGCAAGATTCTTCCCAATCCATGTATAAAAATTTGTTTATCTCTTACAAACAAAATATAATGGTTGCAAAGGGTGGTTGGCAGCTTCAGTGAAAAAGGAATTATCATAACCAAACTTGGATGTATAGGAGAGACTCAAGAGTTAAAGAACAGCAGCACCGCTGAATCCATTTAACTGGCGAAGTGGTTTTAATTGGGTTGGTTGCTAGGGAATGGCTCCAGCACTATGTATTTCAGTGAATTTAAACACTGGACAAATGGCACACCTAAGTCTGCTTAAATGATACACCTGGTATTGGTTCCAGCTGAACCTAGAGCAGGTGTGCATTGCTTCTTGGTAACTAGTTTTCCCTTGTTGTGCAGTTCCACAGTGTGGGTTACATGCTGCTAACCTGTTCTGTGGTGGCTGCTGGGCAAGTTGAACTTGCTGTACAAATTCTGCATTTAGTGTTTTGCAGTATGCTTAACTTAAAAAAAAAAAAAAAAAATCAGTTAATGTAAACATAACTAGAAAAGTAGGCTCAAAGCAGGATTAACTTACATATTTGATACAAGAATTACTGTGTTACATGTTTGTACTTTTTCTTGTACAGGAAGGGTCAGATACTACTCTTGGTTTTATTGGACTGAATTATTTGACTTAAGTGAAGTTGCACTGGGCTTATGCATGGGACAGTTGTGCTTGGACTTGCATTAGCAAGGTTGGGAGCGCCACTGTGTGCAAGCTGCTGTCAGTACTAGTTTTGCACGCAGTGCCTGTTACATCTGTGCCAAGCAATACTAATCAATAGCATGTTAAAAATACCATCTGGGGGTAGAACTGATACCGGTCATCCCTGCGTGTCCTGCCCTGTGCTGCTGTACAACTGACACTAATTACTGAGGGCAGTGTTGAGAAGGAGTCTTTCCTTGGTGCAAATGCTACTTGAGAACAGAACTTGGTTCTGTTCTTTTATAAATAGAATAAATGTATTGAAGTCTGGCTTTATCTCTTCAACATTTATAATGTAACTTAGTATAATGTTCTGTGTTGGCACACAGGAGAATTAAGTTTGGCTCTGTTCTCATTCCCCATACTAGCAGGAGTTAAGAACAAAAAGAGGCATCTGTATCTAATTCAGGCTATGAAGGGAGTCAGGGACTTGTTAAACTCAACCGTAAACCATAGAAAGTAAGAGGACCTGACTTTCTCTAAAGCAGCTAGGTTTCGTGGGTTTAATAAAGCTCAGCTAGATGCCCCAGCTGAAGAACATTGCATGAATTTCCGACAGCACTTTCCTAAATATAAAACAGGAGTGACCAGACTTGTCAAATTCATATGTGTAATCTGGGAGAAAATAAGAGGCATACCTAATTCTCATGAGAGCCACTACAGATTAAGCATCTTTAATATTGGAGGATGGCCTGCAGACGCACATAAAGCAGTGGGCCATCTGTACCACTCAGATCAAAATGCATCACTGGAGAGGGTGCTATATTAAAAGTGAAGGCAGATTGGGGCACTGCTGTGGAACTCTTCTGGTTTTATCTATGAGTTGCAAATTAAACTTGTTGACAGAAGTGGAGAAAGAGCTGTTAATAGAGACTTTATGTCGTATTTCTTTCCTGAAGTTCACTGAAGACTAGGGTTAAAGAAAATCTGTCTGTATTTGACCAGTGGCAATCCATGCGAGAGACTCTTCTGTTGCTATTCTGAGAACTATTTAAAGCTGGCTTTTAGATTTTACTGCATAAATGCTGTTAGTTGTGGCATGTCTGTCTTTCATGAATACATACTTCAAGAAATAGGTTATTTTCTAAAATTGCTTTAATTTTCTTACCTAGTTATTGGTATGAGTTTTGCACGTAATTACATACTTTGAGTTGGTTCCCAGCAGTACTTACCCTGATAATAATAGGAACATAACACATCAGAATAGTTGAAAATTCTTCATTGAGGAGGGGTTTGAGAAAGAGATAGCAGGTTTGGTAGAAGATGCTTCTTGTGCTTGACATGAAATTCTCTCCTTCACCTCTCAGAGTTCTCTGAGATAGCTAATTCTTTTAACCACAAATACACGAGTTTGGATAAAATAGCTGTGGAATAGCAGTTTATGTACATCCCCAAATGCTTTAAGTATTTTACAGATAGATAAGCAACTCTCTGAGCAAGGAACAACTTCTATTTTTAGATACAATGGAGTGAGTGAGGGGCAATAAACTGTGAGGAAAAGACAGGCTGAGGGGAGAATGGCAATGAGGTCATGAGGTTACTTTCCATGCATTCGTTTAGAAGACGTGAGAAAAATGCAAGGAAGACTGTTACATGTGCAGTGTTCTACAGTGAGTGTAGTTATGAGCAGATAAAACAAGAATGGACAGCATTCTGATTTCTTCAAGAAAAGTCAGCAAATGCTGTTATTCTGAGACACTCTTGGCTAGGATGGAGCAGAAAAAAAGCCACATTAATTTTTAGACCTTCAGAAAAATGTTTCTGTGTTATTAAAATATCTGTTATCAGTTTTTGGGGATTTTTTTTAAACGGAAGTACATATGGAGTCACTCTTGAAAAGCAGAAGCCATTTCTCTACCCCCTACCCAGAAAGTCAGTGTCCAGGAATATGTGCCTTCTGAACTAACCTTTTTTTTTTTTTTTTTTTTTTTTTTTTTTTTTTTTTTTTTTTTCTCTCCCCTTTTGAAACAAATCCAGGTTTGCCTCTCAAGCTGCTTTTGACTACTCTGGACAGTAGCAACACATTGAATCTGGCATGATTCTTCCCAGTTGTACTACTGCAGATGGAATTCTGAGTACAAGGAATGAAAATTGATAGGACTTGTTGGTGTTCCTTCTGCTATAGCCTGGCAAATCTCTGAGCAGCAGCAGAGGTACTGAAGCTGTGTCTGTAAACTTAGGAAGTTGGAATTTTCTCTTTCCCTATCCATTGGAACAAGTGCTAGGATATTTACAATCAGGTTTTAGTTTCTATGAAAAAAGTTAATTTCACCTGCCTGTGAAATTCATTGGAGAGACTAGTAAGAAAAAAGGATTTTTCATTTCTTCAAACCCTATTAGTGTACATTTTTTGGAAAGCAGCCTTAATAAATATTGCATCGTACTATAGCTACATATCTGTTGACTTAGATGAAAATTCAATATACATTTCTTAAATAAGCATAGAAGCCGAGTATAATTTTTCAGACCAGTGGTTTTGCTATTGGATGAGAACTTTCTTAATCAAAGTTTATCTCAAAGAACAGACGCTGACAGAGATGAAGTAATAATGTGGCTATGAAATAATCTGCTGGAGGAAAAACTGTTTTCCCAAGTGGCTTTAGGGACAGAATAGCCAATGTATTTCTTTGGGTAAAACACACTGTGCTCGGTTCTTTCTACTCAGGCATTTCTGGTCTTTACAAAAAGCAGATAGTCTCCCTTGTGTCATTTTTAATTGATTTTTTTCGGTGCATTACAAGAGATCACTGGCACCAGTCCAGGAAAAGGCAGGCAGCAAGTAGAGAATTCATCAAAAACTGACTCATTGATCACTGGATCTGATGAAATAATTAGTGCTTGATATTTTCAGTACAGTTTCATGCTGTTATTTTGACTTCCAAAAGCAAGCGAAAATCCCTTTATACCAGATGATCACCAGGCAAAACTATGATTTCAAAAATTGTTCATCATACTTATTAATTTTTTTTAATCTCCTTGCAGGAATTACTAAGAATTTTTCATTGACTCATTAACAGGAATACCCGTGCTCGGTTTTGCAAAAAAGTCAGGTTTGGGACATTGTATTTATGATGGAGGGAAGTCATAGGCATCATTTTGGTGCATTCATTCCCAAACATGTGCAGTAACGGGCCTTCAAATGTGTTCATTAATAATAATAATAATAATAATAATAATGATATTTTTAAAAAAATAATCTTGGAAACCAACAGAAATACCAAAGGGATATCACATTAACACTAAAGTTGTAGTAGACCTCAAACAGTATCATACCATAGTTCCAAGATCTGGGCAGCTCTGCTGTAATGAAATCTGTGAGATAAATCAGTGTATAACAAGTATTCTATCTGAGGATCCTCTGTGAAGTTGCAAATGTGTTGTTAACTCAGTAAATTTGACCAGTTGTGTTTAAAATACAGGTAGACATGGGGTTTTTTTCTTCAACATTTGCATTTTTGATGCAGTAAACAAAAATGTCATCTCAAAACATCCCAGAACCTTGAGGAAGAAGATTGCTTTTTATATGTGTCAAAGTAAGAGTTTGATACCCTGCTAAATCCTTGAACTTGTTGCTAAATTTGAGTATAGAATAAAACTTCATTGTCTATGTTGGTAACAGCTTATGAACTGGAAATTTTTCAAGTTTGTTTCTTGTTGGTACCGAACAAACATTCAGTTGCTTTGTTGTTGTTTGGTTGTGTTTTTTTTCCTTAGGAATAAGATTATTTCAAGTATATTGCTTTTTACTTCTTTGGAGAGAACCTTGATGTTCCTTGGGCGGGGCAGACGGGTCAAGGTATAAATAAATACTTGTTTTCCTCTCCCTTATAGGAGACCTGCAAACAGAAAAGAAATAGAAGCCGTTAACCTACCCTGTTCAGAGAGAACACTAAATCGGCACAACATGGCACAGCATAGTATTGTCCTTGGATTATTCGTCATGACTGTTTTATCGCTGTTGGATGGAAGCTCAGCTTTCCTGTTAAATCAGCGGCTGAAAGGAAGATTTCAAAGAGACCGTAGAAACATCCGCCCAAACATCATCCTTGTTCTTACTGATGATCAAGATGTAGAACTTGGTAAGAGCCTAACATAAAGAGAATTTTAGCTAATGAGTATGGCACTGCTTTTCCTTGAAGCTAGATTCTTGTGTCCAAAATAATTATCTTTTCTTTCAGTGTGAAAAATGATTGGAAGAACAAATAGCAAAAGTTTAAACCTACCTTTATGTAGAAAATACTTTCTATCTGCATGCAATTTAAGGACAAAAAGAGTTAGTCTCAACTCAAAATGTCAGACTTCCTGTTTCTGGGGAAGTAGGAGATTCCTGCCTATCTGTCTTCATCTAGATACATAAACTAATGCTTCTGGAAATGGCAAGTATAGCCTGGGAAGCTACATGCCAAAGCAGTAGGTTTAAATTCATAACTGATTATCGCACCATATAATTACCCAAATTTTTTTGTGTAATTGCAGACATTCATTACATGTACAATTTTAATTTTAATTACTTAAATGCTACCTAGCATAGTCATACTATTCCTGGTATTGTCCATTTAGATGTGTAGTTAATTAGTGACCAAAATCACTTAGCATGAAAAGGTTCTACTGTGTTACTCAACACTATGTTAATTGTTGAAGAAAGGAGATGAAGATTAAACACACACTTTGCCTAATGATTTGGAATAATGAATCAACTGACAAGAATTTGGGTTTTGTTCTGTTACCTGAACAAGCTTATATTTACCAAATGATGTCTGTAGTTAGGAGAAGTGATTAATGCAAACCAGTTTATATTAAGAATTTTGCATTAGAAATATGCTTTTAAGTGAGTATAAAGCCTGGATCATCTGAAAGACAAGAGCTTGGATATGCGTGGTTTAGTGGGTTTTTTTGACAGTTACTGCATCACATTTCTAGTATGGATGGGAAAAATTGGAAAATCCCTCACAAAAGAAATGGAACACTAAAGTAATCAGCTTGTGTTACTTGTACACTTACTCATCTAGTTGAGAAGTTAGAGCAATGTGGCAACTCTTTTACAGATGCTTCCTTTTTATCAGTGCATGTCAGTGGTATCACAGATGTCACATTCCTTGTCAAAGATGGTGAGAAAGCCTGTTATGGAAGTAACCTCACCAAATACAAATGTAATTCAAATTAGTAGGGTCTGAAGATTATTTTTTTACTTTTTTTTAATGATTATTTGGATCACAATGAAAGCAGTTTCAATAATGTATATCCAAAAGAACCTAAGTATGTTATCTTGTGGGCTCAGAAGGTGGTCCTAAAAAATTTATCATCTTCTATTTTATGCTAGCCTGCTTGTTTCTGATGCAATTGTCCAAGTCCTTTGGGCGGTATATTTCTCTTCTCTGATAATCTGATGCTTTCCAGTTTCAAGCATAATGGGCATGTGTCCACACAAATTAAGATCTAACTAAGGAAAATCCATTTGATGAAGCTGAGATTTGATATTTGTCATTTGCAACTAATGGCTTTGTGAGACCAAATATTTGTTTGAATTAATTTTTATTCTTGTCTATTGTCTAGTGAGCTGTCCAAGTTAATCAAAATTGCCATTTGTGGGGATTGTAGTTAATGCATTTAGGAAAGATGAAAACAAGATGTGAATTACAAATAAAAGCTAAGGAAAATTTGGAAGCTATGAAAGTGTAGTAGAGAAAGCTGTGTGTTAATAAGATTTCATCTGTTTTAAGAATATTCAGTAACTGATGATGGGTGTTGTAGCTTTCACCGTTCTTTTGTGGTTACTTTTGAGGCAAAAGGGAAGTCAACACAATCTCAAGTGCTCTTAACAGCCTTTCCTTTATTTCATTTAAGACAGATTAAACAATGTAGCAGGTGGAGCGTACTGGTTAGAGAATGTCATCCTTTCAGGAAAGGAGTACAATTTTTTTTAAAATTTACACTACTGGTAATCATGAGTTTTACTTGGAAAACCAAACCTCTGCCTTGTACTGAAAAAAGAAGAGTGAGGGGCTGATGAAAAGGATGCAGAATCTCCAGGTCAGAGGAGGATGGGTGTAAACTGTAATGGATACAAATGGGAGAAGACAAATGAGAGCAGCAACAACTATTGAAATATGCACTGTTGGCTGTCTAATCAAAAGAGTTGTACTGACAAGCAGACTATAAAGAAGAAGCATAAACTGATGAGAAAAAAGGATTAATTAGAAACTAAGACTTTTTTTTCCCCATTAGAGTCATTTAAGTCCAAGTTAGTATAATGCTGATGTCCCCTGTGTGATGGACTCAGCATCTCCAGTTTAATTAGGTTTGCCTACCATATTGATGTAGTTTAACAAACCAGCTTATTTCATTATCTCATAGTTGGAGAAAGATCTGATTATTTAGAAGATATTTCAGCCATGTTAGAGAAATCTGAGTGAGGGGTGATTTGTATGTCCTACATCTTCCTCTAAAAAAACTATGAAAGTGGAATGGAAGATTATTTTTCTTAGTTATCATACATGGAGATTAGGGCCTTAGAGCTTCATTAAAATTAAATATAAGGGGAGGAAAGGGAAATGAAGGTGTGAAAAGGGTGCTTAAATGGGTTCAAATAGGATAAAAATAGAAGACTTTAGGGGACTGTTAATTAACATTCTGGGGTTCAATTAACTTATCTGCATATGGATACCACTTCTTAAATTGTGCTTTAGAGTACGCTAAGTCACTTGAGACTTGGAATACAAGTTCTTCAACATCTAGAACTCCCTAAGATTCATGTAAATTATGATCTCTGACAACAAAACACAACTAAGGGAAAGTCAATATTATTTCATAAACAAATGGTATGTTTTCTCCATTAATATTAGTCAAAATATCAGCCTTATCCCTAAAGTGAACTGAGAAGACTCACTAAGCAAAGTTGTGGATACCACACAAATTTCAATTGGAATTTCAAGCTACGTTTTGTTTCACTTTGTTCAGTGAGCAGCTTAAATGCATGTTTTCACAGTAGTCCAATGGGTTTATTTGTTTTAAATAGCTTAGAAATTTCACATTTAACTACTAAATAATTTTATTTATTATCAGTGGTTTTAGACGTGTAACAGAAGATTTTTCTGAATGAAATATTGCCACTTCAAAGCATGACTTCCCTTGGTACATCCACTAATGAAACCCCAGAAGGTTTTCCAACTCCAAAGGTGATTTGGTGAGGTTCCAGTTACTGATTAACACGTAACTTACCTTCTGCCACAGAAAGGTCAATTTTCTGCTTTTTCTCACAATTCTGTGTTTGTATTGGAGGCAAGCTGAAGAAAATAAGTTTTGGTTGGCTGGTTTAATGCTGTTTAAAATATTTAAAGCTGGCCTATTTAGATTGTATAGACGAGTATACTAGATTTTTACCTTCCACTGATCTGTCACTCTCTATTAGTTCTCAAGCTGGGGAAGCAGATTAGATCATATGTTTTTGTATTAAAGACTGTTGATATATAAGGCCTTGTCATTACAGCAGTTTTATTAAAGGAGGTTACTGTCCCCAAGGGGAGTCTTAACATGTACTGTTATTTATGCACAGATGCCTCTGTCATTTAAAGGGGTTGTTAAATTGCATTTTAATATTGGGATGACAAAACATTTTTTCAGTCTGCCTATTTATGCTTGGGCTACCTTCATAAGACAACACAGAGGAAACATCCACAGTTTTCAGGCTCACATAAGTATAATTGACTGTTATAATTGTTAACTGTGGTGTTAGTGCCTTTGAGCACTGGCACTTATCCCACAGTCATGGAAACGAAGAATCTTGCTTTCTTCAGAAACTTCTTTTTGATATGTGAAGTTTAGCAAGTTCTAAAGGGGGAGTGAAATAACCTGCCTTGGTTCTTGTCACACAGTGATGTGGCAGAGATGTGCTCTGACCTGAGGAATGCACAAGCAGATTTTTTTTAATATGTTTTTTTTTGTATTCATTCCAACAAAATTATCCCAAGAAAACTAATACCATGGCAATTTCTAGGTGAAAAGACCTGTGGTAGCAATTAACCTTCCTTCATGGTGCCAGAGAGAGTCAGATTTTTGTATGTGGCTTATGACCATTTTCCGTCTAGGTTTTGACTCCTGGTTATATCAGTGTGCCCTGTATCAAATCGACTTACTGTTGCAATTTCGTAATGAAATCCCTGCCTAAAGAGCTTAGAAGAAACCTAAACCCATTATTGACAGAAACAACATACAGTTTGTACCAGATGGTTGCAGGATATATTGATTAAAGCTGAACTATTAATCCAACTTAGCCTTGGGTAAGTTAGCCCCAAACCTACTCCAACATGAACCCATACCTTCATCTCCAATGTTGTCTGTTGGCTTTCCCAGCTCATAACAAGAAGGGAGGGTTGGTGATGGAAAGGTTTACTCTTCTTTGCAAGGCCATGCTGATGACAAGTACCATTACAAGTTCTTTGGAAAATCTAAATTCTTCCTAGATCAAGTATAACTCACTCTGATGCAGTTTTAACTATCCAGTCAGCCAAAAATGAGGGAAACTTAAGTATCTTTTTTTCTGATCCTTGGTGTATCTGCATGTAGAAATAAGTATGAGATGGGTCCAGATTTAGCCAGGTGGATATCTAGGGCAAAGATCCAGTCTTTGTCTAAAGCCTTGTCAAAACAACAACCATTTGGCATTGGTGTGGCTTTTAGTAATAATTGGTAAAAATACTTTTACTCCCATTACCCAAATTCATCGAAGTCCCTGCCAGTTAAACTTGCTTGCTTGTTTTTTAGATGATGGTTATAAACTACATGGTGTTATCTGTCCCAAGTAGTCATCTAAAAATCTGATTTTGCAGAACCAAGCCTAAGAAAATTTAGAGAGTTCAAGGTATTACTGTTATCAGAACAGATCAAGTGAATAGACAGAACTCAGTGGACTGGTATGGGTATTATTATGAGGGCTTTACTTTGGGTTAGTGAAAGTTTATAGAAATGAATACCTGCTAACACCTCACATTAGGGAAAAGAACATTCTGTTTAGAGAATAACTCTAGCACCTGCTTGAGCAGGGGGTTGGACTAAATAATTGCTAGGCATCCCTTCCAACCTCAATGGTTCTCTTATTCTGTGATTACAACCCTTGGCCTTTTGCTGAAGGTTGGCACAAAAAGTGGTGTATCAAGTATCTTCTGAAACCAAGGATTAAATAATGCTTAAGGAGTATGCAAGCTTTGGTCAAGATTGCTGCACAAAGTGAATTTCACTCTTAGGCCATGTTGTTTTAGCCTAATTCATGCTGGTTCTTGCCTTCAGCTACTGGAACAGTACTTATGCCTCCAAAAAGGCTGCAAAGAAGGTGCAGATAGTTAGTGGTAAATCTTGAGCTTAGAGAGAGGGAGAAATTAAAAATCCACTATGATCTATGTCAACAGGTTTGAATCAGATCTTAACTTGGGACTTCAGTATTTGGCCCTTCTTAAAACAATGGGAGAACTTTAATAGAGGGGGGGAGAATAATTTGTTTGGATTTGGGTTCACAATGAGATTACAGTGCCCTTACTACCAGTGCTTCATTCTGGTTGCTGATGTAACATGTGAGCTCTTAGCTGTTGTGACTAAAACAAGAAAATAATTCTGAGATTATTTTCTTCTTCCAGGTTCTATGCAAGTGATGAATAAAACAAGGCGGATCATGGAACACGGAGGTGCTCATTTCATCAATGCCTTTGTGACAACGCCCATGTGCTGCCCATCTCGCTCCTCTATTCTTACGGGGAAGTACGTCCACAACCACAACACTTACACTAACAATGAGAACTGTTCTTCTCCGTCCTGGCAGGCTCAGCATGAAATACGTACGTTTGCAGTGTACCTCAACAACACAGGATACAGGACAGGTAGGTTAAGGCTGGCTCCATCTGGAAGCTGACTTAGACTTGGTGCAGTGGCTAATGTATTTAATATTTTAATTTGTTTTCATAATGGACTGCAGCAGTGCAGAATGCCAGAGCTTCAGTCTTGCATGTAGGTTTAGCTTCCTTCTACGTTTAGTTGAGGAAATGTTAAAGTTTTTTTCAGAAGCTAGGAAGAATGAAATAATGTGTATGCTTGAACCGAAGGTCTAGCACATGTAGAATATGCCCTGCAGTTACCTGAGGTGCACAGAACCAACAAGAAAAATGCTGTGGAAAGGAACTAGTGATTTGAATTTTTCATAAAACAGATATATTAATCAAACTAGAATACAAGAGAAGGAACTGCTCCTTCTGTGCTTTGGGGGCAGAACTATCAGCTGGATTGATTTCTCTAGACGATCCATTCCCAGAAAACTGTTCAGGGCAGATAATGACTGAGGAATAATCTACAAGATCAGATGTAGTCTTGAGAAACAAATGATCATCTTCGCATGCAGTGCTCCTTAGGAGCAAATATCCTCTAGAAAGGATTTCAGAAAATACGTAGCACGTGTTTCACACCTATTTCCTTCTTGCATTCTCCAGACATGAGATTTAGGTCCTTGCCTGTTAACAGTGGTTTTGCCACCTTTCTTGCTAATGTCTTCTGTCAGGATGAGAAACAAGCATAAACCTGGTTCTGTTTGTGTTATTTATAGTATATATACTATTGTAGTATAGTTATTATTGATAGTATACATTTTTTCTTTGAATTTATAGTATTTCAGGCTTCCAGAAACTAATATAAATCTTGAATAATAACTATAACAGGATCATTATTTTCGAACTATTCACGTGAGTTTTACATGTTATTTCTGCAAAGTCTTGGTCTTAAATGGGTAATTTCCTTGTTTTGTTTTTCTAAAATAAAGACTTGAATTAATCCAGAAAGAAATAAATTAGTGGAAGTGAATGTACCTTATTAATTAGTTGCTGTTTCCCTCCATTTATCACTCCTGGCACCAGCACCAATGATCATATGAATACCACACCAAGGTTAATGTTCTAGTCTTCATAGATTATTTGTTTTGCGTTTACTGATGTCTGTCTATTGCAACAATTTTTATGTTTAGTTACTATATTTCAAGTAACTCCAATTTCTACTAACTTGCAGAGCTATTGCAAGTGTCCTGGTATTCATATGTCTTACATTTTTGCATTAACTTAATGTTTAAATTTAGACCCAAGATCTTAGTGAATATGTATTACATTTTCGATCTACTTCTCTTTGCAAACTAAATTTATTAGAACATACAGAAACAGTACTTTTACATGTACAAAGCAATCTTCAGGTGTAAATGAGATCCTCATTCATGTAGTTAAATTTGATATATCGTTACACAAATTTAAATGGAAATTGACATCACTGGAGGCTGGAGTTCATTTTCTGATCTCCAGTTAAAGTCTTGAGTTATCCACTATGAAGGATGTCAGCAGTAGAAGGCATTTTTTTCTACTTCCTCCCCCCCCCAAGATCTGTTCAGATTTACCTGCTCCAGAAACAGCAGGAAATTGTACTTTAGAACCATGTTCACTCAGTTTCTCAAGTTTCAAAAGTAGCCTGCTAAGGAGAGCATTTCGGAGATTAATACAGTTTCTCTGAAGTGGGGAATCCTCCTTGAACATGACTGTTGTGAACAAAAGAAGATGTGGAAAGCACAGGAGTTCATTTGTACCATTTTTCTTATTATTTGTTGAGGTCCCTGGTAGTACTGGTTTGCTGTGCAAACACACGGTTTAGCTTCTTGATCCTTTTTTTTTTTCTGAAGGAGAAGAGGCCATGAGGAATAAAGCCTTTGGAGGCTTGCTTTTATATTTAAGTTCACAACCTTGGAGTTGAGAAAGCTATTATTTTGAAAGGGAGTTTGATTTTTTTTTTTTTTATTTCATTCATAAGCCAGGCCGCCTCCCTGTGTTTTTCTGTTCTCTTTTCTCTTTTGTTTAAATGTGAAGGAAGAAATTGTACTCTCCTGCTCCACTTAACCTTCCCTCTGTTTTTCTTTCCTGTCACTCGTTTCACATCTCCTTGCCCTCTTCTCTATTCATTGTGATCATTCTGTGTTTTATTCTTTTGCAAAAGATGATTCTGCTGGGGACCATTCTTTCTGTGTTGTAGTATTTCCCTGTGGTGGTGGCATTTGTGGTTTGGATCTATACAGGCTTGTGCTGTTGCTGACGCCTTTGGGAAACGTGCCGGTGATATGCAGGCAGGAGGGAGCAGTGTGGTGCAGGTTTCTCTTGCACAAGTTGCAAGTAAAAGATAAGAGGGGAGATGGAAAAGCTGTGACTTTCCTATAATTGTTTCTCAGTTTCAGCCTTGTTTGGCAGGTTTATGTTTTTCAACTTGGTAATTTGAAAAAGTTTGACATACTTTAAGACACTGGACTTGTCAGAACAGAGATTAAAGGAGAAGGCTGAGCTCAAGGGAACTTCTGTCTTTGGCTTTAACAAGTCAGAATTTTGACCATCATGCATAGGGCTCACAGTTACTTTATATGGATCAATTGAAATAAATATGACAATGCAAAGGATGGATTTTCCTTCTACAGTGGAAGCCATTGAGGCAGCAGGTGTTACAGGTGTGTTGTCTTCTGCATTAACGTGTCTCACAATCTAAAAAATGCCAATGTCATGAACAGTGACTGAAAGGCTGTATTCTCGTTGCATTACCACTACACATAGACAAGTTCCAAATCTCAGTGTATATTAAGCAACTGTTCCAATTTTGAAGAGCTTCTCACATCGTTGTCCTGTTACATATTGTGGGAAGTCAGGCAAGAAGGACAATTTATGTAAACAAAACAAGTCAGTTGATGAATTAATCTTTAGAAAAGTCAGTGTAAGCAACTTCTGAATCATCATTAACTTAAAATAGTGGACACTAGTACTTCAGCTTGGAGCAGGAGATGATTAGAATGGAAAAGAAACAAAGAGATCCTATGACAAACATTTCTGAATGTCAGGGAGTTTCTCTGCCAAAGGTTCCTGTGTAAACATTTACAGAGAAATGGTTCTGTTTTCTGTGAACATATGTGTCTCTTTCTGTGAGACAGCTTTTTAAAAGCACAATGCATTGTTGCATGCTTGGGTCCTGCAGCAGCAAATACCAAGATGTTTTATTGGAATACAAATTTAAACTTTCCCTTAGACATTACTTAATGAGAAAAGCTTCTCTTTTCCATTTGCCTGGCGGGGTGAATGATTAGGTCTTAAAATTGGTGACTGATTCCAGAATATTTTTTCAGCCTTATCTGCAGTTAGGAAATGAAAAGACATGTTTATCTTACTAAATTCAACAGAATTAGGGATGGTAGGCCAAATTCAGCCTGGCAGAAGGACACTTTTGCTTCAGTGAATCTTCTGAGAGGGTTCTGTTAATTTATATGAGGGCTTAATGTGGCTCAGTATGCAGAAAATGCAGTACACATTTTGGCTGACTTGCCATCCTCGTTCCTGTTGAGCAGTACCCTATAGTACAACTAACCCTATTCAGTTAAATGAACCTATTAACAAAGGAAAAAGCTGCCACTTGTATGGTAATATGTCGGTATCTCACTCTCATGGCAAGTCCATACTTGAATTATGCAAAGAATTAATAAATACCATTTTGCACCAGTTGTGCATTTTGAGCCTAGCGAAAAGTCATTGTGGGAGGTCCATCTCTGCCATTGTAAAAAATTCCTTGGGAATAAAAGTAATAATCATTCTTAGCACTTTCACGGGGCTTTACAATAATTAACTAATGAATTCATTAAAATTCAGTGACAGTCTTTCATTTCCTCCCATTAATATTAGACTAAGAAGATACAGTGGCTGACTGCATTCAAATAATTATTTTTCCACTTCACTGTCTGAGCCTTTGACATTTTAAAGTGATTTTAACATTAAATTGTAAGAACGAGGAGAAAGGCTATTGGTAAATGTTTATTAAAGGAGGAATGAACCTGAAAAATATGTGACCAGATTTTAATATCTAGATACGTGTCAGGAGAAAAATTCTTAGATTATCAGTTCCCTGATGTAGAATTTGCTATCAACAATAGTTGTTGGTTGCTTTCTTATTACAGAAATACTTAAAAGCTTAACTGAAGTTGATCTCTGTCTGTAATTGCTTGGTAGGGAATAATTGGTGACCTGAAGAGTCAAAGGGTAGTCAAAAGTAGAGACAGAATTGTGAAGTACTTTCTACAAAGTCACGTGCAGGTGAGGAGCAATATTAAGAAGAGATGCAAGGTCAGTGCCCCAGCCACTATACCATGGTGCAGTTCTTCCCTGTCGTGTTATGTGCATAGAAAGAAAACAGATTGTCCCAACTCAGAGTAACATCTTGTGTGCAGGACAGATAGCTCTTGCGATTGATAAAGAACTGAACCGTTTCTAAAAACAATAACCAAGTGATTTAAGAGTCAGACTTAATTTTTAGAAGCGATTTGAACATTTAGGAACTGAAGTGTTACGATACTCACCTCCAAGACATCTAGGTGACTTTCAAAACTGAATATCAGGTTTCTGAGTGATTTATCATTAAGGTAAATTAGTTTCTTTAGATCTCTTGCTCTGTATGTAGAAATATTATTTTAGCAAGGTCTGTCAAATTTTATCTGTTGGACGTTTTGAGACCTTTAGATTTGAAAACGGTGTGAAAGAGAGATTCAGCATAGTGGTTATATCATGATAGCTGTTTCTGCAAAAGGAAATGCAGGATCTGTGCTGGCAAGGATGTAAGAAGAGTCCTGATATATAGCCCAGAATATCCTGCAAATATTCTGATAAATTACACTTTCAAACAAAAGACAGTTCTGGATATCCTGTCTTGTGCATTAAAGACTGTTTGCTTTTTTATTCTCTCAGCTTTAACTTCACTTCTGTACATTGGTTTCAAGTCAGACATTCATGCATCCTTTGCCTTTGTTTCTATGAGCATCACTAACTTCACTTTAAAC